GCTCTCGCAGTTCAAGAGCCCTTCAGTTCTCCGCAGTCACCTATCTCCTCCTTTTAGCCCACATGATCACATGACCACCGAGCCACGCCTACCCAGCTGGTCATTAGGGCAGAGAACTGGTTGGTAAATTATTTCAATCCCACCACTGGTAGCAGGTCATGTAAAACTGTTGATAACAACTGCAGCCATGAAAAAAAGGACAGTTGACTCTCTCATTCTTTGCCATTCTTGTTGCTAGATTAAAACACATCCTTGCATAGAAGAGATTTTTGTCCATTAAGAAACAAGTCAGCTTCTGTATTCCCGGTTTTATTTATACTGGTATGGCAGTTTGATTTAATAATATCTCTACTAATTCATTTTCACGCCAGCTCAAAAGAGGAATGAAATCTCCTATTCGGTCCTGACAAGCCTCCATATATTTCCAGGCATCAGCATCATGTTTAATACAATTAGTTTCGATACTAAATGCTTAACTGAATAGCAATTGATTTGATTTAATTTGATTTGATTTATTACATTTCTATGCCGCCCTATTCCCAGAGGGACTCAATTATGTGAACCTCAATACTTTTCTATATGCAAATGTGCAAAATTATTGATATTGGTAACTTCTTTTATTTACGGAGATTCTCACTCATCCTGATTACGGTTGTCCCAGAGGTGATTTTTTTTTCCAAGAGGCAGCTGACTTTCTGGTGTTTTTTTCCTCCCTTTGAAGACATTTTTGCTTCTCACCCAAGAAGCTTCTTCAGCTCTGAATGTCTTCAAAGAGAAAAAAAAACCCCAGAATGTAAACAAAAAAAACCAAGAAACTCCAATTGCCTCTTGGAAAAAAAAAACCCCTTCGGGACAACTTCTTTTATTGCTTTATACTGCATTTGTTTTCATTTTTGTCTGTAATTTTTATTATTTATTTATTTATATTTCAAGGTGGTACTTTGAGTAGTATTTCATAGGAAGACATGGTTTATTATTTCATTATTTTCTTTTATTATTTTTATATTTTTATATTCGTGTAAGCTGCTTGAGTAGCCATGGGCGAGCAGGCAATATCAATTTTCTAAAATAAATAAATTTATTTATTTATTTATTAGACTTATATACCGCTTCATAGGGCTTTCAGCCTTCTCTAAGCGGTTTACAAATTTTTTTTTTAGCAAATTGAGTCTGCAACTTGCCCCCACAGTCTGGGTCCTCATTTCACCCACTTTGGAAGGATGAAAGGCTGAGTCGACCTTTGAGCCGCTGAACTGCATATAACAAGTCAGCTGAAGTGGCCTGCAGTACTGCACCCTAACCACTGCGCCACCTCGGCTCTTATTTATTAAATATTATTTCACCTGACATTATTTTCAGTAAACATCAAGTTCACTCGTGGTTGGTCTCTAGTAGTTAGCTCAAAAAAGTATTACAACTCCTTAAAACTGTTACCAACTCCCACTGTCAGTTTAATATCTGTGCTCTTAAGTTCTTTTTAAGTCAATGAAAGATTGAGACAGTCTTACAACACAGCCTTTTACCATTTAAATGTTCCAGCTCTTGAGCTCTTCTTTCACTCGTTCGGACTAAATCTCTCTTCTCCGCTTCCAATTCTTCTTTTGCTCTGGTGAGCTGACTCTAAACAAAAAAGGAAACAAGAATAGATTTATTGTCTATTGTTTCTGTGGGCAGAATCAGAAGCCAAAGGACAAAACCACCAGCAATTAGGGGTAGATTTGAGATCTAGAAACCATTCTTGATTGAATAAGCTGTCAGCTAATACAACATAAAATAGCAAGTTTACCATTGCTGAAGCAGAAACTGAATAATCATCTGTCCAATAGTTATGCATTGAGCAGATTGGATTTGTGTTTTAAGATCCTGTCCAGTTCTAAAGAGGTATAAGATACCAATATTGCACTAGTTATTGCAAAAGCAACTTCATTATTATTGCTGATGTTCTCCAGTAACCCCAGAGTTATTGTTGTGGGGGAAATAGGAGAAGGGAGGAATATTAAGTAGGCACACTGCCTTGAGTTACTTTAAAAAAAAATACAGACAGGATAAAAATATACAAAAATAGGCACAAATTACAATTCTGAATGCTTCTTGTCAGCATCCATACCTGTATGCCCACATTGTTATCTTGAGCAACTTCCAGTTCCTTGTTTTTCTCAGTGAGCTTCTTCAATTCCTCATCTGTAGAGTGTTCAAAAGATTAGATTAGATTAGATTACTTTATTTGTATGCCGCCCTTTTCCCTGAGGGGACTCAGGGCGGCTCACAATTCAAGGGGAGGGAAGGACAAACAAGTTACAAAAATGAAGACAATACATCGTTAAAAAGCGCAACAGTCATACTATTCGNCCCCCCCCCCCACTTTTTTGACTCTTCGCCCCGGAAAAGGGCAGGGCGGGAAGAAAGGCGGAAAACGCGTCACGCGGCCCAAGGGCGCACGCGCGTCGCGCAGCCGGCGCACGCGCAAAGCGCAGCAGTAACCACACAGCTGATATTGTGCTTATAATTCATATATATAATTGATATATGCTTATAACATTAATTGTATTGTTATGATCATTTGTTCTGTTGCTTGCGTCCTGACGATTTATACTGACATATTGTTTCCTGGTTGCTTATTTGTAGCCTATATGACTTATCATTAAGGGTTGTACCTTGTGATGCTATTGCTATTGCTATTCTTGACGGAAAGGGCAGAGCGGGAAGAAGGGAAAAAAACGCGTCACCCGGCCGAAGGGCGCACGCGCGTCGCGTCGCAGGCGCACGCGCAAAGCGCAGCAGTAGCTACAGCTGATGTACTATGATCCATATATAATCGATATATACTTATAACATTAATTGTATTGTTATGTTCATGTCTGTTGCTTGTATCCTTGCGGTTTATATTGACATTGTTTCCTGGTTGCTTATTTGTACCCTATGACTATCATTAAGAGTTGTAACTTATGATGCTTTGATGAATGTATCTTGTCTTTTTATGGACACTGAGAGTATGCATATGCACCAAAGACACATTCCTTGTATGTCCAATCACACTTGAACAATAAAGAATTCTATTATATATCTATATCAAATCCATATCTATATCTAATCCACATCTATATCTAATCTACATCTATATCTATTTCTAATCTATATCTATCTATCTATCATCTATCTGTCTGTCTGTCTGTCTGTCTGTGTGTGTGTGTTTTATTTGTGCTGATAATAAATATATATAATAATATGATATAGGAGACAAAATATTATTATGATATAATATTATGAACAATATTATGATATGAGAGAAAATAATATTATGATATATTATGAATAATATTATGATATAGGAGACAACAGAATATGATATATTATGAATAATATGAATAATATTGAGACAAAGAATATTATATGTTATGAATAATATTATGATATGAGAGAAAATAATATTATGATATATTATGAATAATATGATATAGGAGACAAAAGAATATGATATATTATGAATAATATTGAGACAAAGAATATTATATGTTATGAATATGATATAGGAGACAGAAGAATATTATTATGATATAATATTATGAATAATATTATTATGATATAGGAGACAAAATAATATTATGATATAATATTATGAATAATATTATGATATAGGAGACAAAATAATATGATATAATATTATGAATATTATTATGATATAGGAGACAAAATAATATTATGATGATATAATACTATGAATAATATTATTATGATATAGGAGACAAAATAATATTATTATGATATAATACTATGAATAATATTATTATGATATAGGAGACAAAATAATATTATTATGATATAATACTATGAATAATATTATTATGATATAGGAGACAAAA